AAGTTATCTCCCCTGTACAAAGACCAAATGACGTAGACTTTGTCTACTTTTTAGCGCAATTTCCATTCTGGAGAATTGCGTTTATTAACCCGTCATTTCTGGATGTATGAATGAATGGATGGATGGATGGATGTATGTGTGTCCGCAGCTTTAAGTCGTATCTCCTCCTCAACGAAGCAATATCGATGACTAGTTCCAAAAGCAATTATGTTAAGCAAGTTACGAGGATGAACATAGGCCATAAAAATTACGGGTTTCTTTCATGGATTTCCCGGAAAAGCCAAAAAACCTCAAAAAAAAAGCAGTTTTTGGCCCATATCTCGGCAACCAGACCACGTAGCGACTTGAAACATGTACCAATCGATTCCTGCTATAATTTAGAACAATATTGCCGAAGAAAGTTTTCAAAAATATCTTTTCGTTCGGTCACAAAAAATTTTTTGAATTAATTAAAATTTGGACCGAATTAGTAGGCATTTTATGCAACCACACCACACGCGTCATCACGTTCAATAGCTGCGCCATCACGTTCAATAGCTGCGACGTCACGTTCGGTAGCTGGGCGCGCAATGGTTTTTAGTCATGTTACTCTATTGTAAATAAAACATGTAAAATACTGAAAAAAAAATTAATAAAAAATGTTTTAATAACTAACCAATGGTTTTACTAACCCTGCTCTTGATTTACGCTACGACAGAGCTATTTTTAGATAACACAAGGAAATTGCGCTAAAATTGTCACTAGACTTTTTTTAATTACTTGTTTACAAACAATTGCTTATATGAAAATACGTCATCTGGACAAATCTAACGACCTAACGGGCTTTGTTTTTCGACGGGAATATTTTTTTTGTTATCTTTTAGTGTCAGTCTACGACCACACAAAATATTAGGGAGATCGTTCGTCAATTTATTTATAGATATATATCTCATATTAGGAGAATTTCACTCGCGGTGATTTTTTAGCCGTCGTTAAGGGCCTGTAAGTTTGACCAAAAGTTTTTCCATACGGTCTAATCATATATAGAGGTGCATGCAAAAATTAGCAAGATGTACATAGGGTAAGTGCCCTGAAATCTTTGTTGAAAATATCCTCTGTTTTTCCCATAAGATACAAAGATTATATAGGAAAATACGACTGGTTAGTTTTAACCCATTTCTAGATTTTTCCCGGACATCGCGAGTTTTTTGTGACACCCCTAGGCGTTCTCTTACCACATCACAAAATTTCAAGGTGGTCGTCGGGCAAAAGTTTTTTTTTTTTGGTAATAGAGCTCATATAAAGAGAATTTCACTCGCTGTCACTTTTTAGCCCTCGTCTAGGGCTTTGAGTGAAACCGACAGTTTTGCCCTACGGCCTAGCCATTTACCTAACAGCTTGCAAAAAATTAGTTTGCTGCAGAGAGGGTAAATACCCTAAAATCTTTGTTGAAATTACCCTTTGTTTTTCCCATAAAATACAAAGATTATATAGGGAAATACGACTGGTCAGTTCTGACCCATTTCCAGATTTTTCACGGACATAACGAGTTTTTTATGAAACCATTAGGCATTCTCCTCCCACCTCAAAAATAATCGAGGGTGGTTGTCGGGCAAAAGTTTTTTTCGTAATAGAGCCCATATAAGGCGCCGGTCAGTCGAGGTCAGTTTTGACCCCCTCTACGTGGTTTTTTCAGCCAACCGGCACCGGCTCTCGGGTTTTATCGCCCCAAGGCAGACTCTTGTTGTCGGGCACCCGACAACTTTGCTTTTATATATAGATCGTTTATTACCGATTGTTGCAGAACAATATTTTTATGAGTTTTGAAAATAAAAATAAAACAATTATTGATATTTGTGTGTGGAGATGAAGAGCCGCATCTCGACATCAAAAGAGCCGCATGCGGCTGGCGAGCCGCAGGTTGCGACCCCTGTCTTATTACATTACATGTGCACATGCATAAGGGTAAAAATAAAGGAAATATTTGATTAGTTAATCAGCTTTAGAACATGTTTGAAAATTGCTTTATGAGTTTGATATTGGAATGTGTTTGTAGATTAATTTATTACAAAACAACAAAAGGAAGGGTTTTAAAATGGAAGACCACTCACGAAACACAACATAATAAACTCGGAATTAGTTAAATATTTGATATGAAAACATAATTCCATGCTTTCTGTGTTATGTACACAGAGTGGTTAGAGGATTTCAATTTAGATGGAGTTTAATTAATAAAACTAACTGAACGTTGAGATAAATCTGGTTTATATTGTTTGCCATAGGATGATGATATGAATGGGAGTGAGCAAAGGGATGTGGATAAGGATATGGGATATGGAGTATAATTAATCAAAACGGATTGAACGTGAGATACGTATTGGTATTATTGTTTAAGCATGGGCATGATATGGTGTGGGATTAGGAAAGGCATGTTGATATGGATGAGGATGAGGATGTGGATACGGATATGGGATATGGGATATTGGATGTAGGAGTATGAGTATGAGTATGAGTATGAGTACGAGTATGAGTATGAGTATGAGTATGACTATGAGTATGAGTATGAGTATGAGTATGAGTATGAGTATGAGTATGAGTATGAGTATGAGTATGAGTATGAGTATGAGTATGAGTATGAGTATGAGTATGAGTATGAGTATGAGTATGAGTATGAGTATGAGTATGAGTATGAGTATGAGTATGAGTATGAGTATGAGTATGAGTATGAGTATGAGTATGAGTATGAGTATGAGTATGAGTATGAGTATGAGTATGAGTATGAGTATGAGTATGAGTATGAGTATGAGTATGAGTATGAGTATGAGTATGAGTATGAGTATGAGTATGAGTATGAGTATGAGTATGAGTATGAGTATGAGTATGAGTATGAGTATGAGTATGAGTATGAGTATGAGTATGAGTATGAGTATGAGTATGAGTATGAGTATGAGTATGAGTATGAGTATGAGTATGAGTATGAGTATGAGTATGAGTATGAGTATGAGTATGAGTATGAGTATGAGTATGAGTATGAGTATGAGTATGAGTATGAGTATGAGTATGAGTATGAGTATGAGTATGAGTATGAGTATGAGTATGAGTATGAGTATGAGTATGAGTATGAGTATGAGTATGAGTATGAGTATGAGTATGAGTATGAGTATGAGTATGAGTATGAGTATGAGTATGAGTATGAGTATGAGTATGAGTATGAGTATGAGTATGAGTATGAGTATGAGTATGAGTATGAGTATGAGTATGAGTATGAGTATGAGTATGAGTATGAGTATGAGTATGAGTATGAGTATGAGTATGAGTATGAGTATGAGTATGAGTATGAGTATGAGTATGAGTATGAGTATGAGTATGAGTATGAGTATGAGTATGAGTATGAGTATGAGTATGAGTATGAGTATGAGTATGAGTATGAGTATGAGTATGAGTATGAGTATGAGTATGAGTATGAGTATGAGTATGAGTATGAGTATGAGTATGAGTATGAGTATGAGTATGAGTATGAGTATGAGTATGAGTATGAGTATGAGTATGAGTATGAGTATGAGTATGAGTATGAGTATGAGTATGAGTATGAGTATGAGTATGAGTATGAGTATGAGTATGAGTATGAGTATGAGTATGAGTATGAGTATGAGTATGAGTATGAGTATGAGTATGAGTATGAGTATGAGTATGAGTATGAGTATGAGTATGAGTATGAGTATGAGTATGAGTATGAGTATGAGTATGAGTATGAGTATGAGTATGAGTATGAGTATGAGTATGAGTATGAGTATGAGTATGAGTATGAGTATGAGTATGAGTATGAGTATGAGTATGAGTATGAGTATGAGTATGAGTATGAGTATGAGTATGAGTATGAGTATGAGTATGAGTATGAGTATGAGTATGAGTATGAGTATGAGTATGAGTATGAGTATGAGTATGAGTATGAGTATGAGTATGAGTATGAGTATGAGTATGAGTATGAGTATGAGTATGAGTATGAGTATGAGTATGAGTATGAGTATGAGTATGAGTATGAGTATGAGTATGAGTATGAGTATGAGTATGAGTATGAGTATGAGTATGAGTATGAGTATGAGTATGAGTATGAGTATGAGTATGAGTATGAGTATGAGTATGAGTATGAGTATGAGTATGAGTATGAGTATGAGTATGAGTATGAGTATGAGTATGAGTATGAGTACGGGTACGGGTACGAGTACGAGTACGAGTACGAGTACGAGTACGAGTACGAGTTCGAGTTCGAGTTCGAGTACCATTACGATTAAGAGTACAAGTACGAGTACCATCACAATTACAAGTACGAGTACATGTACCACTACGTCATTGACCAGTATTTAGTTTGCACTTTTCTGTTACGGATTTTTCCTTTCATATCTTTCCAGTAACTATGTTCAAAGTATGCTAGGTTATTATCAACTCGAATTATAACTAATGTTATCCCTTCCCTGAACTAGTCCTCAAACGACCAGTTAATACAATACTACCATTTATCACCAACCAATCACATCTTTGTTTGGAACAGTCCACTTTAATAATTAGGTGAAACAAAATCTCATATAGTTAACATGCAATAGTTGTTCTATTTTTGATATGCTAAATGAAATACTATACAACAGCTATGTTACGCACAGTGGTTCTTCGAGACTTTTTTATACGGGGGGGGGGGGGGGGGGCACTTGAAATTTTCGGGAGGGGGGGGGGGGTGGCGGTAGACTTTCTTGGGAGGGGGGGGGTGGACACAGCTAAAAGTATATATTTTCTATATAAATTTCATTTCGTTCGTGGGGGGGGGGGGGGCGGTAGACTTTCTTTGGGAAGGGGGGGGGGCTGGAAGAGATGCCTTGAAGAAAGCTGTACGCCTACCGAGTACGTATTTTACATGGTAGAGATGGGTTTATTCGTTGATTGACTAATGAAACATTCCTATTGGATGATGATCCAACACGCCCAGCCTCCTAAGCTGTCTATATATTTCGTTAGTTCAGCCGCACTGT